CCTAGATCTTTGAGATGAAGAAAAATCAGACTCACGTAAAAAGTTTCGGAAAATGTTTATATACCGTTGACACTTGTTCTGCCATTGGAATGCTGTAACCATTTTTTCCTCGGCAGTCATAGCCATCGTTGAAATGAGCTGACGTTCCGCTGTTGTAATGAATTTGTCAGATTCTTGACACATTTCATTGTACTCTTCCATGTCAATACGTTGACGAGACTTCTTTCGCGATTTGCACTTTGGCATCTTGATAGCTAAATCTGAAAATAAACTTAAAAAAATACGTCTAAAAACTAAGAAAAACCTGAAAAAACTCAAACTAAAAAAAAATCCTTAAAAACTCAAACTAAAAAAAAATCCTGAAAATAAACAACTAAAACTAAAAAAATCCTGAAATAGAAATAATCACAACCACCTTAAAAACTAATACAAAATAGAACAAAAAAAACCTAAAATAGAAAAAAAACCACCACCAACTTAAAACTAATGCGAACTAGAACAAAAAACCCTAAAATAGAAAAAAAAACCACCACCAACTTAAGACTAATGCAAACTAGAACACAAAAATTAAAAAAACCTATAATAAAAAATCAATAACTCCTAAATTCAAAACAAAAAAAACTCTGAAAATTAACTCTGGAAAGAAACTCTGAAAACTCTGGAACCCTGAAAACCTGGAAGTAGACTGCTGCACCATTCAAGATGCAACTGATGTTTGTGGCCCGCGCTCCGTAACTTATACCCCAGTCCCCAATCAATGGAAAACCATTGAAGTTTAGTAAAAAAAATTAAAAATTAAAAAATATCAATTTTTTTAATTATTTATTTATAAAATTATATTTATTTTTAATGTTTAAGCATGAGCCCTATCAGATTTTGTTTAAAAAAAATCTTATTTCAAAGTTTAAGATCTCATTAAAAAACCGTGAAATTTTTAGAATGGCATCTGTCTTTGTTTTTTAGTAATAAATTGTGAAAGTTTTAATTGCACTATCGCGCGCCGGCTCACAGTTGGATTTTTTTACAATTTACTGTTCAAAAATGACTACAGCCTACAATTTTTAACCGATTTGAGTGTTTTTTGTTTTAAATTTAAGGGGACATCCTGGGAGGCCGATTTTTTAAATATTAATTTTTTATAATTTTTTATTTTAAAAAAATTAATACAATTTTTTTAAAAAGGACGTTTATTTTCTTATTCCGTTACTGCACATGATTTAAATAAGTTCAAAATAATCCAATATATCCACCAGACAATTAATAAAACAAAATAATTTATTCAAATTGTTATGAACAATATTAATTAACAAATAGTTAACTTTGATTCCTCTTCAATAAAAAATGTTTTTTTTCACATTTACTTTTATATTTAGGTTCATTTAAAGAATATATGTCCTTTCCTTGTTTAAATAAGTTATTTTTTAAACAAGTAGGTCATGTATTCTTAAAATAAAATTAAATCAAAAAGAAAATGTGGAAAAAAACCTTTTTTAGTGAAAAGGAATCAAAGTTATCTATTTGTTTAATTATATTGTTTATAACAATTTAAATAAGTTATGTTTTGAACGAGGAGGGCATATATTCATTAAATGATCCTAAATATAAAAGTAAATGTTAAAAAAAACATTTTTTAGTGAACAGGAATCAAAGTTAACTTTTTGTTAATTAATATTGTTCATAACAATTTAAATAAATTATTTTGTTTTATTAATTGTCTGGTGGATATATTGGATTATTTTGAACTTATTTAAATCATGTGCAGTAACGGAAGAAGAAAATAAACGTCCTTTTTAAAAAAATTGTATTAATTTTTTTAAAATAAAAAATTATAAAAAATTAATATTTAAAAAATCGGCCTCCCAGGATGTCCCCTTAAATTTAAAACAAAAAACACTCAAATCGGTTAAAAATTGTAGGCTGTAGTCATTTTTGAACAGTAAATTGTAAAAAAATCCAACTGTGAGCCGGCGCGCGATAGTGCAATTAAAACTTTGACAATTTATTACTAAAAAACAAAGACAGATGCCATTCTAAAAATTTCACGGTTTTTTAATGAGATCTTAAACTTTGAAATAAGATTTTTTTTAAACAAAATCTGATAGGTCTCATGCTTAAACATTAAAAATAAATATAATTTTATAAATAAATAATTTAAAAAATTGATATTTTTTAATTTTCAATTTTTTTACTAAACTTCAATGGTTTTTACGTAAAAAAGGTTCTTAACAAATTTAATAAATTTTTAAAAATAAGTGAGTTATAATAAAATGAAAAAAACATGTCAAGAAATTTGCAATGCAAATATCTTGAAAAATAATAAAAATATTTAATTAAAATTTGGTATAGTTGTTTAGGACCCAAAATACTATTAATAAGCAAAATATAAAAAAAATCTGAGACATGAACCTTAACTCTTCTGCGAAATGACCCTAATGTATTTGAAAAAAACTTTTATAAGTTAATGAATAATTCAGTTTTTGGAAAAACGATGGAGAATGTGAGAAAACATAAAGATGTTAGAATTGTTACGAAATGGGAGGGTCGATTTGGAGCTAAAGCTCTCTTTGGAAAACCTAATTTTCACAGCTGCAATATATTTGACAATAATATGGTTATTATAGAGCTCAACAAACTACAAGTTAAATTTAATAAACCAATTTACGTTGGTTTTAGCATTTTAGATGTATCTAAATTATATATTTATGATTTTCACTACAATTATATTAAAAAAACATTCGGTGAGTTGTCAAAATTACTATATACTGATACAGATAGCTTAATTTATCACTTAAAAGTTCCAAATGTTTATGACATTATTAAGCTAGATTTAAAATTTTTTGATACGTCCGATTACCCTGAAAATAATATATATGGAATTCCATTAGCCAATAAGAAAATATAAGGATTAATGAAAGACGAATGTAATGGGAGTATTGTAACCGAATTCATAGGATTGCGCTCTAAATTATATACTTATAAAATATTTAGTGAAAAAAACGAAAAGAAAAAAGCAAAAGGAGTTAAGAAATCAACGCTAAAAAAATTAAATTTTCTGATTATAAAAAAGCACTTTTCAATTTAAAGATTTGGTAAAAACTGAGCATTTAATAAAAAGTAAAAATCATGAAGTATATACTCTAAAACAAATGAAAAAAGTGTTAAGTTGGCACGATGATAAAAGAATACTTTTGCCAAAAAGTACAGATACAATACCTTGGGGTTATAAAAAACATTTAAAAATTAATAATAAATTAATTATTCAATAAAGAATTACATTAAATAATTAATATAAAGAAAGAAACATCCATCTCCACTCTTCAAGAGTAAGAACATCATTCTACACTCTTCTTCTCTCTCGCTTCATGCTCTTATCTGCTCGTCTCAAATTCTATAAACTAAGGCTTGGGTATAAAAAGGAACTCGATTCGAAGGAGGATCATCATTAATTAAGTGACACTGAAAATAATTAGTTCAGTTAGCCTTTTGTCGTGTTTCAAAAAAAGTAAGGAAAAAGTGTATTTGCATATAAAATTTAAATTGAATTTATATTCTTCTAAAATTTATAAATTAAAATAATTTTGTTTTAAATGCAATTTCTCTGAATTTTAATTTTTGTTAATAATTTAATTTTTAAATTTGTGGTTTATTATATTTAATAATTAAAAGTGAATTATTGTTGGTGATGTGATTATTTTAATCAGGCATTCGTGAAAATTCTAAATTTTTTTTATGTGTATAATTTAAAAGAAATGTGCTTTTTAAGAAAAAATACCATTATTTGAGAGTTTGATATTGAATTATTTTTTGTGATTATTTTTTATGTGTAGTAGAAGATTAAATTAAATTTACTCTAAATTTTTATCTTTTTTCAAAAAATTTTTAGTGATTATTTTTATTGGGCATTTGGAAAAAATTTTAATTTGTCTTTTGATATTTTTAATTTAATAGAATTCGCTCTCTTAAGAAAAAATACCATTATTTAATTGTTTGAAATCGAATACTTTCTTGTGATTATTTTTTATGTGTAATAGAAGATTAAAATATTTTACTCTACAATTTTTCTTTTTGCATTGATAATTACCGAAAAGACAGTTTTTAGTGATTATTTTTAACGAGCATTTGTAAATATTTTTAAATAAATTTTTTAAACTTTAAATAATTTAAATATTTTTTTAAAAAATATTAATTTTTAAATAAATTAAATAATTTTTAGAAAATATTAATTTTTGAATAATTTAAATAATTTTAAAAAATATTAATTTTTTAATATTTTAAATAATTTTTAAAAAATATTAATTTTTAAATAATTTAAATATTGAGTGATAAGCGTTAAATCCTTCCGTAGTTTAATTGTTAGTAGTAAAATAAATGATCATGGGAAGGTGAAGAATTGAAAAATTCAATGTATCGTCAAAATTTTGACAATACATTGAATTTTTCAATTCTTCACCTTCTCATGATCATTTATTTTACTACTAACAATAATTTAAATAATTTTTTAAAAAATATTAATTTTTAAATAATTTAAAAAAATTTTTAATCTTTAAATAATTTTTTTGTGTGTAATAGAAAATTAAATTATTGTACTCTAAAATTTTTCTTTTTAAAAAAAATTTTTTTTGATTATTTTTATCGTGAATATTTTAAATGTCTTGATGTTTATAATTTAATAGAATTGTTCAATTGTGTAAATTTATTTTTTCTGTTAGTTTTTTAAATTTTTTAAATTAATTTTTTGTGTGCCCAAATTAAATTTGTTTAGTTATAATTTTTTTAAATTTAAATTGTTTTTTATTTAACTAAAATTAATTTTTTTATAAAATTTTTTTTAATTTCTTAACATTTCGCTTTAAAAAAAATTTAATTTAATTTTGTGAGATTTGTTTATCTTTTTAATATTGTGGATCTTTATCGTGCCTAATTTTAATGTAATAAGTTTTGTGTTGTTAGCATTACTCTTAAATTAATGTGATTATTTTGCATTTTTTGTTAACTATTCATTGTTTTTTATTTATTAAATTTGAAGTTTTTTAAAGTGCTTATTACTTATAAGTTAAATATTTTTTCAGAGAAAAAAAATGTCTTACGTTCGGCTGTACATGGAAATAATTGCACCTGCACAATGGTTTCATTCACCAAGCTCGGAGATTTTTAGGAAATTGACCACTATATCGCTGGCCATGCGATCAAAGGATTTGCTCAGCGGCAGGTTGGTCGCATCTGGGAAGGCAATTGTAAACTTTCAGAACGTATCTACGCAGATTACAAATACCCCGGAAGGATTTTGGTTCAAACGCAATGGACATGGCGTCAATGATATTTTGGTAAGAAGATATAAATTGTCTGAATTATTAATAAATAAGATAATAAACTGAATAATAATCTATAAAAAAGTTAAATAATAGATAATAAATAAACAATAATAAATAAGTAATAAATAATTTTTATAAAATTTTTTTTTTTTTTTATTATTATTATTAAATAAATAAATAAATAATAAATCATTATTAATTGAATTAAATTATTTTTTTCAGAGTCCGTATGCTGGTTATTGGATCCTGGCAGATATTCCAATAGAATGGGCTCATCCAGGAAGTAATGTCTTGGAACTTCGAAACATCGTTATGGTTGCTGTGGCAGCCAAAAAATATAAATGCTTTGGGAGCGAAAACGGAGGACTGGTGTTCTTGAGACACAAAAACATTCTTGCTGAAGTGGAGGCAATAAGGGAAACGGTTTATATAATGAAAAGAAGATCGGACCTGCCGTTAGTAAACGACTACAGATACAGTGCACAACAACTACTACTAACTAATAATAATACAGAACAAGAATGCTATGAGGAGTTGGTTTGGAAATAATGGAATGCAGAAATGGATCACCTATGGAGTTAGGAAGTGATGGTGAAAGTGATAAAGAGGAGGAGCAAGAAGAGGAGGAGGAGGAGGGCCAAGAGCAAGAACAAGAACAAGAACAAGAACAAGAGCAAGAGCAGGAGCCGGATACATCTAACGATGTATTAGAGGAGCAGGAGCAGAATACATCTAACGATGTATTACAGGAGCATTCTGAAGGTGAAGGCGAAGGCATAACCTCTACTACCGAAGTGTTGGACGAAACACAGGATAACACAGGCGAACCCATGGACATTGAAGTTTAAAAGGAATCAAAGGAAAATGTCGAATAGTGACATTTTTTTAATGCTTGTAGATTACTTACAAGCTGTTATTATTATTACTAATTACTTAGTAGTTATATTTTATTATTATTATATTATAAATAAATAAAACTTCATTAAAAATTGGAAAAAGCAATTTATTTTTTGAAAAATATTTCCTCTTAATATTTTACTTTACAGGAACACTTTTTATTACTTAAATTAATTAATTGTTATAAAATTTGTTTATACAAAAATTAAAATAACTTTTTTATTATAAAGTTAAAAAGAGAAAATTACACTATAAAATTAAAGTAATTAATAATACATTATTTAAAAATAAATAAATAATTTTTTCTATATTTTTATAAAATTAATTAATTAATTATTTATTTGTACATTTTTAAATACTTAAAAAATGATTACATAATTACTTCTATCTCTTAATAGCATTTCTAATCAAGTAATTAATAAATTTTTCAAATAATAAAAAAATTATGCTTCCATTATGAATGGATACGCTACAACTTGATTGTATTTACTATATAACTAACCTCAGACAAATTCTTGACAAGGGTAAGTAACCTTATACATTAGCGCGATAAAAATTCTTTTCTTATGTAATCTTACATCACATTCAGAATATTCTTATTATTATAACTTTAACTTAATTTTTAATTACTTAAAAATACATAATACTTATTATTACTATTTATAGTTATAATAATAATAATAATTAATAATTATTATTAACGTAAAGATTATTTCAATTTTTATTGGTAATTATTAATAATTATCATTTTTTAATTTTAATAATTTATTTTATTTATTTATTTAAAACTCGTTTATGTTTAAATAATAACAATTTTTAATTAATGTATGAATTGTTTTAAACTTATTATTATAACATATAATTTTTTTCAATCTTTTACAGGTAATAATAATAAGATTAATTATTAGGTATAATATATAATAATTTTTATTTTTTAATTTCATTAGTGATAACAATTATTAATTAATGTATAAATTAAAAAAGTAATTTTAAGTATTAATATTAATAATTATTGTAAAAATTTAGAATTATAATATATATATATATATATATATTTAATTATACAATTTTTCTTACAATATTATTATTGTTATAATATATTATAAATTATTTATATATTATATTATTTATATAATAAATTATTATTATTTATATGTTATTATAAATTAGTAAAATTATAGATAAATAATTTTTAAAAAAGGATTTATATACGCATATACAATAAGTAATTAATAAATAATAAACATATAATTACTATGTATATATATATATATATATATATGGTATATATAGAGAAACCCTTTATGATAAATTAGTGAGCTGCACAAACGAGTTATCATTTTCGACTATTGAAAGTATAATCGACCGCGATCTAGAATCCTATGATAAGTGAGCGGCGGTCGGTTCATTATCTACTCGTATGGTTATTAAACAGTTGTCGCTCGCTTATCATAAACAGCGATAAGTGGTACAAGCATAGAGTTCCTTAATTAAACACTAGAGCTTCAGATTTAAAATTATAAGTTTGAATGACTAAGTATGTAAAAGTCATAACAAATTGTTATGAAAGCAAGTATTATATTACTTAGGATCGAACAATTGATGATCTAATTAGTACGTGCTTCTTACATTTTAGCAAGAGTACGTGTCTTTTACATTTTGACACAGGAACGTGCTTTTTACATTTTAGCACAGATACGTGCCTTTTGATCGTCTCATTCCCAATCAAGTATACATTTAGCTACTATATAAACCCCTAATTTCTTAGAGCAATTGTCAAATACTCCGGTGAGCTTCTGCCCGAACAGTGTCGTGAGTCGGCCCTTCGATAGTTTAAATTGAGTTGTTAACTTCGGTGTTTAAAAAGGAAACTTGTCTTCTTAACTAAGAAGTAATTAGCACTAATAATTAGCAATCTTAATTAATACAATCGTCGTATCATTAGAACAGTCTTTTTCACTACTTTCTTTCTAATTTTTAACAAAATTGGTGCAAGTTATTTCGAAACATTAAGAAAACAAGTTTTCTTTTGTATCAAGGTACGGTGTTCGTATTAACACTTAGAAATTGTGAATTAACTGTCAAAAATAGTCGTTTAGTGCCTTAAGTGCTAAAATAACGAACTGAAAACAAAACTATAATTCATCCCTGTAAGCAGCGAAGCATAGCTGGTTGCAGCCTACTCATTGTAACATTCTTCTATACACAACTAAATTGTAAGTAAGAACTATATTGTTAAATACAACATTGTTTAATGAATAAACATCATAAATAAGGAATATGTATATGTTTAATTAACGAGAACCCGTAGTTTTTTTAAAGTCGAACGAATCCTTACTTAAAAATAAATATCAAGTCTTACCAACTTGATAAATCAGCAACTTGTCTCCATTTTACTAATTATTTAGTAAACTAACCTAACCTTAGCTCGGGTCGTAACACTTTTCAATATTTAACATTTCCTCTTCCATAACAAACTATAACTGTACGATATGCAAATGCACAAATACAAGTACAAAATACTGTAACTCGTTTTAACTTCTTCTTTTTACAACTTTTAGACCCAGTTTTTTCAGGAACCTGAGATTTTAAGGTGTTAATCTTTTGAAGATTTGTCGTCGACTGATTCCTTTTTGACATGGTGTTTCCGTTTTATAACCAAATCCAATCTTATTTCGATTGTTGAAAACAATTCCCATTATTCTACAGCTTTAATGTGTAATCTGATGGTTATAGTTTCTCCTCTAAAATTAACTAAACGTCCATCTTGATCGACAATTCGCAGTTGAATGTAATCTATTGTTCTGACCGAGACTGGCAAGTAAATGACGTGATTTGGTACTTCCACTATTTTATATCCTGGTGAAACAACAGGAAAAAATTGATGAATGGTATGTACTTTTTTACCATTTATATATGCCCCTGTAGTTATATTATATTCTATTCTTATAGAATTTATTTTAATAATTGACACTAGTTGATCTGATTAGCTTTCAATTTGCGATGAGAAAATCCTAATAAACTGCCAATAGAATCATTAGGTTCAAAATTAATTTCTTCATCACAATAAATTATGCATTTTAAAATATTATTATTAGGTTGAATACTAATATTACAACCCCGACTTTTTAAATTCTTTTGCAAGTCCTTGTTAATATCACTTATTTCGTAACTTCCTGTTACCATTTCATAAACAGTATCACCCACGTAAAATTTATTTTTACCAATATCAACATTAGGAATCGAATGATATGAGAGAAATTCAACAAGCCCAAGAACATAATTTTTATAAGGCAATAATTCGATTGGTGGAAAGAATTGAGATTCTAAAGTGGAAGCATTTCCCGATAACGTTAATATAATTGAATCGTTCATGTTGATGTCAAATAAATAACTGAGTTTAAAATTAAAAATTTTATTTATTTATATACACAGAATACATGTCAGAGATATTTAGTTGTTTACATAAAAATTTAAGACACAAATGTCCACAAACAAACGTATCAAAGTTTTGATAATTTTCACGATTATACATTATATAATTAAGGCCAAAATAACGAATAAGATCAAAAGGTGGTCGAAGATTACCAAAACTATCAAAATAAATAATTTTATCTTTAATCTTTTTATAAGCACACCAATGAGTCCCTGGGCCATCCTTGTCATCCAAATTTATTATTCCTGATTCATATTATTTAGGACCATTAAATGGTAGTTTATTACGCAAAAAAAAAAAAAAAAAAAAAAAAAAAAAATGTGAAATTTTTAAATTTAAGTAAATCGATAAAGTAAATAAAGTAAAGTAAATCGATGTTTGTTAACGCATGGTGCGGTAATTTCACTTTAAATTTTTGTTTTGAATTTTTCTTTTTTTTTTAATCCACGTCCCTGAATGTGTGGTTTTAAATGAAGTCCTACTCCTTCCTTGTAAGGTTTCAAATAAACTCCTTTTCCCAATGAAATAGCTTCCATTGCTTCATTATGACGTTTACTTTCTTACAGTTGCTTTTTTGCAGCATCTGCATCATTGACAGCTTTTGCAATACCAGCTGCCCCACCAGCAAGGGCTCCTGTTGCACTTAGTCCCGCAAAAATAGGAATCATGAAGGGTAAAAATCCCCCTACTTTAGCAGAAACTGGTAAAATGCGAGGTCTTTTTATTTTTCCTTTTCCACCAGCTTTTTTTACAGCCACGCGTGCTCCAAGTAAGGCAGATTTAATAACAGCATTTATGTTATCACTTGGATTCATAGTTTTTTAGCTGCTGAAATAATTTTTTTTAACGTAGAAGTAGTAGGTGGAGGTCCTTTGTTTGCCTTCTTTAGACCCATGCCTAATTTAGATTTTGCTTTCATTGTATTTGTTATAGTCTTGTGCATTAACACGACTCCAAGCTTTTTCCGCAAGTACCTTATCTGCAGCGTTTCTAGCTTTAATATTTTCCTTATATCTTAAATAAGAAATGTAGTGTTCCTTACACACTGCGTCTAAAGGATTAATTCCTTGGTCACCACGAACAAGTCGCTTAGCTAATTTTGTTCCTGGACCACAATACTGATAGCCAGGAATATGTATTTCAAATGGTTAATTATTTATAATTTTATTTAGAAAGCCTTTTCCACGTCTTACTCCTTTCACGGATTTCTTAAAACTGATTCGTTTTTTATTTGCGTGCACAATCATATCCTTCCAAGAATTGAAAGTCAACTAATAAAATTATCTTTATAAGCTGAGTTTAAAAGACTTTTTTAGTTTAAAATATGATGGAGTTTAATGCACAACCTATCAAATTACCCGTTATTAATTTCGATACGGTAGTACAAAAGAGTGAAAAGAAACAGCGGCATGGAAATTTATTGCCGAATAGTGTGCGAGCAATATTTTGTGGACCTTCTAACTGTGGAAAAACGAATGCATTGCTTG